GTAATATAGGTAAGCCTTCTTAAGTGAAGCCATTCTAAGAGGGCTAAACAAATGCTCACTTGCATGCCTTAGAAGGGCGTTTCCGTTTACACTTTACGCAAATGCATAAATTGATATTATTTAGCATTACAAATGAATTTCAATGAATATTTTAAGTTTGCAACAACACATATTTGAAATAAACTTAAAGCAAATACTTAAAAGATGTATGTTTTTGATAAATTAAAGCAACAACTTTAAAAGAACCCCTCCAATGGGTATCGAAAGAAGAAGCTCTCCAATTTGAGCCACACCATACAACAAAAAAGGAGAAAGGAATGTAGAGTGGAAGGTCCCTTGACTCTCAGAAAGGCCATTCTTAAGGGATTTTAACTCCTGAAATTATCTACTGCGTAATCTTTCACTCATTGTCATTGAACTTAGTCCCGTAAAGGTAGGCTAATGAAAAATATGCTGTTTCGACGGCTTCGGTTTAAAGGGAGAGTGGTGTTAGCTGAGTAGGTTCAAAGGGGAAAGTGAAGAGATGATTAGAGAGGTGGGATAGGTATTCGGACAGCGTTGCGACTGGAGACGTACTAATTTAACCTATAACAGTATCCAGACCATAATTGTGCCAGTGTTACGCGGACCTTTCAAGGCAGCTGGAGCTTTTTCTCAGCTAGGAGTGGTCGTTGAACTCCGGTAACGGCTTTAAAGCATTTACTCTTTTATTTTATTGTGGCTACCGGTAAGTCGGATACCACTGGCCACCATTTTACTCTGTATTGATACCTAGATATCCTAAATTAATTGACTAATAGGTCATATTTGGCGTGGTAATTAGGCCAAACATTTTTCCCATATACTCACGCTACCTAGTGAGTAGTAAGTTGGCAATTTTTTCCCATATAGTTCAGGATTATTAGCCATAAAATGCCGCACATCTGAGTCATTTCGCCAAAAAGTGATATAGGTTCCGGGACACTGCCGCATAGAGGGGAATTGTAATGCCGTTGAACTGGCGCGACTTGGTACTAAACTTTATATTGAGGATGTATATGGTGAAACAGGAATACCCTTACAAACTTGCAAGCTACATACTTCTTATAGACTTACTAAAGCAGCTAATGACAGATGATAGGAAGCGATCACGTGCAGAACCGCCAAGCAATAATGGCCGCCGCTCAGAGCTAACAGGACACTGCCTAATAGGAAAGCATGCCTATAGACTAGGCGTACGATTACATCACTTCTGTAGAAGTTACCAAGATGAAGGAAAGGAGGAAACGACTTTATACCTGTGGTGCCAGTGCCCTGCTTTACTCAGAAGAAGACTCCTTACTCTAGGTAGATGATGCTTAGAGAAGCTCAAACTAGTTTTAGGAGGGGTTAGGAGTTGCTGAACCCGCATGCGGTATCAAAATAAACATTGAGCCTAAGTATGTCTTACAGACGACCACGACGACCAGGATTATATTATAACAAACATTCAGGAACCAAAAAACTGTAATATTACATTATTTTATTGTATTTTTACTGTAGGGTTAATATCTTCCTTCGACAGTCGCCGTTATGAGGTTATATCCTCGGAATGCGGGTCCACCCAAATTGGTTTATTTAACCGCTCGTGCGCGGCTCTTGCTCTCTTGACAGGTCTCCGATACTTGAGTAGCGGCTCGTTACGCGCCGTTTAGGTTTGTAACTGTTGATTGTGGAAAGTCCGTGCCGGGCCATTCCTTTTTATGAGAAGTGCCGCGTAGGAGCTCCTTTGAAAGTTGTGTTCTTAACTGCCCTAGATACGAAGACCGCTGAAGCTCAGTATAGTATTTCCCCACCCAGAGGGTTCGTACTTGTATATACTGACGAAGAACGCGTCAGAATTACATACTGCAATAATACTTAACGATCTCTGTTCCTGCAGACCCACGTGAAGCCGTAACTGCAACGTTAAGGCCAGTATGCAGCTCTTAAGAAAAGCAAAAACTCCATATAAAATGACGTACAGGTAATGGCTAAGAAATTTCCTTGAGTCAAATTTCCTTCAGGCAGTACGCAGTTCTTAAGAAATTTGCTACGCTTTCTGCTACGGTTTTCTAACGTTCTTTGGGAGAAAAGAGCACAAGGCAACCAATGATTGCTACAGAAATATATGCCCGTTCCACTATTTCTTGAGGAAAGAGCGAGGCAACAGGGTGGTGAAGTATCAGTTGTCAAAATTGCTTGGTCACACACATGAAATATTGGCAATTTTTTTCTTGACATTTTCTTGAGAGCTGCATACCAGCTTTTAATGATTTTCTCTCGGTTATTGCGAAGGAGATAAGTATTCCTACAAGTCTTATTTGGGCTCATAATGAGCGATACGAGCGAAACCACTTTGAAGTTTTGGTGCTCACACTTAGGCACATAAGTAGGTAGATACTCTTTGCAGCTTTTCAAAAACTACAAATATGCTGGCAACATTGATTTGTCAAAAATAACTACTCTAGCAGTTACCATCAAATAAGATTCGTACAATGCAAAAAACTAACTGCGAATGCTAAAAAATGCTTAAATACATTTTTATTCGTACTATGGCATAGTAAATGTCAACAAAATAACAGCAAATTGGGAAACGTGAAGAGCAACATGTGTCAAAGTTGTTTGTGTAATTTGACTATTTAATTGCTCAATTATGCCAATTGTTGGTTTTGCTGTAGAAGTCATTACACATATCAACATTTCGAGAGTTGAGTGGATACATTTTTGGTGAGTATACTTAATGAGGTCAAGGCAATGCTCTGGCTCAGTGCATGGCAAGTCAAATGGGTGAGTGACTGCTTGTTTGAAATAGTGGTTTGCGGTTGTAGCATAAGCTGTTTACGTATGCGCAGACACTACGAATGTTTGCTCTGATTTTTAAACTGTAGGCCGTTTTAGACACATGATTATATGTTGACACTCTTAAACGACTAAGTTGGGCATAAAAAAGCGCTAATTTACTCGTAACGGTTTGGCTCATTCAGAAATGTTGTTAAATTTACGCTAAATAATAAACATTGTTATGTACATGTCATCTGACATGAGCTAAAATATTATAAAATATTGAAACTTCTAAATGCTTGCTCGCCAGCCCATTCATAAAAATTACAAAAGTATCTTTTGAGAAAGAAGTCTATTTACGATATAAGGCAATAAAATAGATAAAGAACGACGACCATAGTGACAATAATATCCGTAAAAATATAAATAAATAATAGCATTGATGGAGAAGAAGTTTCGCTTTCAACTCCTAGTTGGCCCTACCTATTCGATGACACCCCCTATGGCTCATCGATAATTATGCTGTGTCTACGGCGATGAGTGCTTATTTGAACACCAATCCAAGAACTAATTTCCTTGGTGTGGTTTCTAAAATTTCGGTGTTTAAGTTGACATTCATACTGGTAGGCAATTCGTTGAAAATTTTCATGCAAAATTTATAAAAATAAGGCGGACAGGCATACTAAGTATTTAATATCATACTAACAATTTACCTTCTAACATAGAGGCCAACAGAGGCTCGTTGCGATACTATATTGGCCTATATAAAGGAGGCCATGCTCTGAACTTTGCCAAAGCTCTACTTTCCTCCCACGAGATCTGTGCAAAGTCTTGAGGTAATGATTAGCAATGCTCGGTAGTAACATAAAGGTGTTGCTCATTTAAAAAAAAAAAAAATAATAAAATAAAATAAAAAGAGCGTCCTAATCTGAAATCCATTTTTTTGAAAAAAAAGAAAAAAAGTTGATCAAACATAGTAGAGTGGTGCCAAACTGGAATTTACTGTTCAAAAGAGTTCACCAATGCTGATGAGATCTAGGTTTAAAAAATTTGATTTGTTTATATAAATTTTTTTTAAAGCAAAATGCAGCGAATCTTCGAATTTTGAAGAAAACCGATTATGCTGTTCCTGTTAATGAATGTAATGCATACAGAATTTTTTCTAAATGCAATTATAAAAAATTATATTAAGTTCAACAACAGGGGAAAGATAATCTATTACCCTCACAATAAGTTCTAGTTCTCTGCACTTTGCACTAAAAAATTTAATATAAACAAATGAAAAATCAAAAACTCTGCTCAACAAATATCTTCAAAATATCATCACTTATAGATTATAAAAACTTAATCAGGTAGGTGTGGCAACGAAGGCTCTCAACTATTTTGAACAGTAACTTCTAGTTTTCTACAACTGACCATGTGTTTTTTTTTTACATTTTTCGTGATATCCTTGAGCAGGTATTTTTATTATCCCAAATTTCAAGGACCTCATGTACCCCGTTCTAATACTTACCCTAATGTCGCCAAAAATCATTAAACTTTTGCGAAGAAAATATTACCAATAGAGCTATTTAAAACAAGAAGGAAAGTCGTAAGTTCGGGCGGAGAAGAACATTAACTACCCGGCGCAAGTATTAAATATACGATTTTTAGCTTTCCGAAAGCTACCGCTACACGGTAAGCCGGGGTGTATCAATTTTGAGTAAATTAGCGTCCTTAAGTTTCGAAAAATTGAAGTTTCAAGCATTTCTGAAATTTCAATAATTTTCAACATTTTGCTTTTACGTGGCAAGCACAATAGTCATACCGAGTTTGGTACAAATTGGTAGAACGGTTACCGAGATACATATATTTGATCAGAAGTGGGCGTTGCCACGCCTATTTTCCAAAACTTTATCATAAACATATTTCTTGGTAAAGAATTTTTGCAAGCATCAATTTTGAATAAAGTAGCTTTAATATTTACTGATTTATCGAAGATTTCGTATTTCTCCAAATTACCGTTATATGTGATGTGGGCATTGTTATTGACCCACTTCAAAAATTTTCGGCCATTTGGTATGCTGTACCAAGCCCAACAACTGTGCCATGTGTGGAAGAAATTGGTGTAGGGGATACCAAGATATACACATGTAACCATAAGTGGGCGTGGCTATGCCCATTTTCAAAAAAATTATAGTGCTCTTATTTTACGTCTAAAAATTATTGTAAATATAAAGGATCTAATTTTTTGCGAGCTTTAATCATTATTATTTTTTCCATTTCCTTTCCAGACACCTATCGCGCGCGCAGCAAACGTGAGACTGCAGCATATGCCGCTTATGATGCTGAGTTGGCGCAAAAAGAAATTTTACGAGAGTTTGGACCAAGCGCTTGTATATTGGAGGAACCTTGTCGTGTGCATGCTTCACGGCCAGGTCGCTTTGGTGCACAACAGCATCCAGCGTGGAATGAAATTTTGAGGTAGGTGAATTTTTGAATACTTAGGGAAGTATGTGCGAAATTGATAAAATAACAGTATTTATAAAAGGTCATAGCAACTGGGTATTTTACAAACATTTTTCTTAAAATGCATGTAAAGTTTACTCGCCCTTTTATCCCTTTTCTTTCACTTCCTCATCAGCAACTTTTATTGCGCGTTCTTCGCTTTTTGTTAAAACTCTCAACATCCGCCTCCTTCTTTCTATTTCTTTTTTTCATTTAAACTTTTTACTGAATTTTTTTCTACCACAACTCCTCCACTTACTCTTTGCCTTAGCAAATTAAGTTTTTCTGCACTTGTCATTTTGTCTAAATGACTCTGTTAGCTCATCGCCATCTGAGTCGAATGCATGTTTTCCAATCAGACACGAAATCAGTTTTTATTTGTGAATTGCTAACTCATCTGTGCATAATTTAATGTCTTGTTCGCAAAACGTAATCGCTTTTGCTTCCTTTTTCCTTGCGCTTGCGACATCAACAGCACATGCGTTAGTTGGCAAAAACTGGAAAACAACGCTAACTACAAAGGAAAAGAAATATATGTATAAGACAGCAGTGAAAAATGCTATAAATTGGCAAAGTGCATGTCATTGCGTCACTAACCAAAATCGGTTATTTCAATTTGTTCAAACTTGATTGAACTACAAATGGTAAGATTTTTCTTACGCCAAATTGGAGTGGCTGTGGCAGAGCACTTGTGCTTGAATGGGCGAAATTAGTGGAAGAAAGATTAGTTAAGAGTTGCCACTTAGATGAAAAATCCCGAAACTAATACGTAATAGGAGTAATAAAAGTCTTCTAATAAGAATCGGGAGGCATTTGGGTAGTTAGGATTTTATTTTCTTTTAAAATAAGGACACAAAGTATTTCAAATCTTTTTAGAAACTCCTTCACTCTTTAAGACTGAATTATTGAGTTATTTAAGAAGATTTGCATTCATCAAATAGTTACAATAAAATGAAAAAAATGCAGTTAATAAAAAATAATAAATTTTTTAAATGCGTTATTTTTTGGCACTTCTAAATAAAATAAATCCCGAAAGAAGTATTTTATTTTAAGATAGAGGTTAACCTCTGCGTAACGGACCTGGGTCTGAAACTCGCATTTCGAACGGTCTTTGGAATGGCAAAATTATGATTTTCTATGCAACCATGTGCCATTTCATTCTCATAACGCTTAATGCCTAGAGAAAGGAGTAAAAGGATAAGGAAAACAGATGGGCGTAGGAAACGAGGACCTCATTTTCGTTGTTGGGTTTTCCGACGGGGTAGGAGATGTACATATTGTGGAACGATTTTCCGTCATCGCTTGTCAAATTTGATCATCCCTTGTTTTCACTGACGGGTTGACGGAAGATCTTTCCACAATACATTGCATTCGAGACTCTTTTATGAACTTTAATAATTTGGAGAGGCACAGAGAATATAGCTCATCCATGCAACATCTCAGTCTGACGCAGCTGGCCAGCTAGATGTACGATCCACTGTCGTCAATGATACCAACGACGCACATACATATGTAGTCCTCAAGGATTTTGTTCCATAATTAGTCCTACTAGGGCCCGTAGCTCTTTCTTTTTTGGGTGAGAAGGAATTTTTCCGTCTACCTGTCTGACATTTTGAGCAAATAAATACATACCTGGTTGTTTTGTAGGCAATGGATTCTCATCAGCCTTATTCGTTAAATCCGTTATGTATTTGATAGTTGGATATTCTTGGAAAATTCTTGAAGAGGTATTTGAAGAGGTGGTTTAAGTCCAGGGAAAATAAACTGAAATTACCATCCAAATGCATCAGTCTTGAAGCTATTGATATAAAGCATTGTTACATTAAGTTAAAGGATTTAAATTTGGAACAAATAATTTGAAATTAGTGCACATAAAGTTAATCCGTTAATCATTTTTACTTTTATTTGCCCTAAGTTTAAACAAATTTGCTCATTTTCAGAAAGTTTAAGTTCATGAAAGTTTAACTTAATGTGACATACCATAAAAAGTTTTTGACGAGTTTCTATGGTGTATTTGTATCAGTACCCGAAACTCTGCTCGACGTATCACAATCCAAAAGAATCCAGTACACATGTTCTTCTTCATTGCTTCATCTTGGATAGCTAAATCCACGGATAGAAAAACTAGCAAGGCATTAAAAGTCGCTCCCAACTTTGCACCCATGGCGCCTGTAGTGCCTTTACACACTCCTTTGTGGCCCATTTAACATAGCACCTGTAGATTTTCCCTTCTGTAACTGACTATCGAGAACACGAATGAAATACTTGAGAGCTACTCGGTTTGGTAAACTGGAGAATATCTCCAAAGCAGGTTCCGAAGAGCTTCTTAGGTTCACTAAAATAGTTGGCATCCTAAATGATGTCTACTACAAGACAAGAATAAAATAAAGAATAAAAAATTGGTTTACTTTCAGGTCCCATAGACGGTTCTGAATAATGCTTGCTGCATGAACGCTTTCATACAGTTAAAAAAAATTTGAAACCTTTGCACCACTCGGAACGTCTTCATTAGGCTCGGCGCAGCTTCCTAGGTTTACGTACACCAAGTGGTTGCTTGAGGTACTCCTCTCTTTGCTGGCCTGCTTCTTGATGTTATAACACAAATGGAGGGATCTACAATTTTACTCCGCCTCCGTACGGCAAATGGTTTTATGCCAATATTTTTTACGTTAGAAAAACAATTAAACGTGCGACACTGCCTGCCGAGAGGCGGTTGTTGTTAGAAAAAAATTTTTCCAATTTTAAATGTTAATCGGACCCGGGATCGAGCCCAGGTCCTACAAAGAGGTAGTGCGCTTATACCTCTCTTAATATTTAAAATGAATTGAAACAAATATGTTATTCTCTTTTTTTAAAATTCGTTCAATTATTCACACTCTTGCGTTCTATAAATTTACATTGTACTTGGCAGCCCTGCGCTACGTGAAATCTGAACTTTCCGGTAATTGACTTTTCTAAAAGTGCGCTGAAAAAATCAAGATTTACTGTATTTCATTACAACGCATTCAATGCAAGAACAAATAATGCTAAAAATGGCAAGTTGAAGTCATTGAAAATTTGCAAATAAAAATGGCGAAGAAAAGCTAAATGACTTTTCATAATGTTGCAAGTTGTTGCAGTGCAATGGCAAAAATAAAAATAAAAAACCATTTGCTACGCGCAAAGCGTAAAAATTAGCAAACGAAAACATTTGGTGAAGCTATTCAGTGTATTTTTATTCTTTACTTTTAATTTGCTGCTGCAACCTTTACTTGTTTTCGCTCCCAACAAATGTTTCCTCTTTTTATACTCAACACGCTGTCTGTTGCACTAATGACGCCAGTGATCGTAAAATTTGGCGTCGGAATAACTAGTATTTACGAAATATGCGTCACTCATACGCCATGTCGCCGCACAAGACACTGCCCTGCCGTACACCATTGCGTATTGTTGCTTTCCGCATCCTAAATGTATGCTTCCGTTGTGGACAGTAGCAGTAAAACGAGCAGCAACGCTACTGACCTTTGTCAACGCGCTCTGCTGTGCGGTGTAGTACGTGCGTTCGTGCGTGCGTAGATGTGCGCTTGTATGCATTCTTGCGTACGGAATAAATTAGTAAGTTTTCCCTCGAGATTTTCCCAGTCGATAAACAAACGAATGAGGTAATCAAATAACCAAACAATAGCGAAACGGCAGTGACTAAGAGCAAACATGTACTCTGAAAAAAAAGAAAAGAGAAAAAACTAAAAAGAATATGCATAAAGTAAAAATTATGCGACTTGCATTTGTTTTTTCTTCTCAAAGCATACAAAAGCAAAGTTCTGAAGTACTTACCACCAGCACCACACACAATTGGTCACTTACAAATTGTATTTTGCAAAACTTTTCTTCAAATTTTGCAATTTGTCTTGTATTACAGTTGCACACTTGCGTGCGTACAATTCCTTTGCATAATTCCTCTGTAGCAAATTTGTTGATGGCAAAAGTTTGAGGAAATAAATTCCATTTGACCAGCAATTCCAAAGCGGCAGACGGAAAGTCTGCGGGATCTTTTGTATGGACACTGGGAATGAAATTAAAACTAGATTTACATAGTAAATGGTAGTATTACGCTGTAACTGAGTATGTTGGTGAGCGAATTTGCGTGCATAGATGCTGTTACTCTTCGTAAATTTATGTTTATGTCAGTTCTACACACTTTAGTTGCGAGATTGCGCTAACACATATACAGCTCTTTATGATTTTACTTTGCATTCCTTTTGATTTTGCTGCCCATTTCTTTTGTTCGCTTTGTGGGAAAGAATTTGTATTCTCCTGTAACCCTTTTGACCTTGCTGAATTAAATCAAAGGCAAAGATGGTGCAATACATTTATGAAGTTGAATGTAAACAGCGTATTCAGATCAACTTCGAGTCTTTTTTTTAATTAAATAGTAAAGAGAAAGAGAGGATTCATTTAAGGTTCAATTTGGAAATATTTGAAAACCTACTTTTATTATTGTAATAACAACCAACGTACTGCTTGGCCAAACGCTGCTTAATTTCGTCACAACAATAGCTGCAGCTCGAGTAAAAGTCTTCCGAGAAATATTGGATCAGTTACATGTAAGTAAGCAACAGAAAAATCATGGAATGCATTTGGCTATAGTAGTTGTTCTGGGTATGCAGCTACAATTTGACGACTATACTCAATCCCGATACTTGCGTGTTCGTTCGGGAGTCAGGCGACATACTGAAAGTTTCAAGATCACAGCGAATTCCTGTCAGAACAAGCATGGCGACCTAGTGACCGATGTCCAGAGCGGTTAAATTATGGAGAGAACACTTTTCCACCCTACTGAATGGTATCAGTACTTAAAGTTAAAAATAAAGCTACTGGAGCTGACAGCCTGGCAGCCGAGCTATTCAAGTACGGCGGCGAGGAGTTGATAAGGTGCGTGCATCAACGCTTATGCAAAATATGGTCATATGAACGCATGTCCGACAACTGGAATTTAGGTGTGCTCTGCGCAATCCACAAGGAAGGCGACCCCGCCATATGCGCCATCTACCACGGGATTAGCCTTTGAAGAATCAGTTACAAGGGCTTATCGAGTATATTGTGTGAAAGACTGAAGCCCACCGCCAATGAACTGATTTAGCTTTATCAGTGCGGCTTTAGATCTGGCAAATCCACTATAGATCAGTTATTCACAATACGCCAAGTCTTGGAAAAGACCCGCGGGAAAAGCATCGACACTCACTACCTATTTTTCAACTTTAAAGCCGCTTGCCACAGCATTAAAAGTAGTTGCCAGTATGCCGTTATATCTGAGTTTGGTATCCCCGCGAAACTAATACGGCTGTGTTAAATGACGTTGAGCAATACCACCAGCTCCATCAGAATTCCGAGCCGTTTGCCACCAAATGGCGTTTCATGCAGGGGGAATTCCCTTCGTGCAATACCTTTAATCTAATGTTGGAGAAGACAATAAAAGCTGCAGAACTGAACCGTTCAGGAACAATTTACTACAAGAGCGTGCAATTGCTGGCGTACACCGATGAAATTTACATCATTGGTAGCAGAAGCCGCGGTGTCTGTTCTGCCTTTTCTAAGTTGGATCAGGAAGCAAAGCGAAGGGGTCTGGTGGTAAACGAGGACGAGACGACGTATGTATCTGCTGTCATCTAAAAAACACAATTGACAGTTATAATTTTGAGAGAGTAGAGAATTTAGTTTACTTTGGAACCATCGAGTAGGCAATAAAGAAGTAAAGCAATCCGCCGTTGTACGAGAACCACACTCAGTCACTATGTGTGGTTATTACTACTTCCTAGTTAAATATTATTACAGACGTTTTCGACATCATGCATGAAACATGTCATCGATAAAGCAGCCGTTGTATTTAACCGGAGCTTCAACCTCCAGTTTGTGTTAACCGGACATTGAAGAAACGGCCCTAATGGGCATTGCTGATTTATAAAATTTTCACCATTTGAGTTCAAACTCAAAGTCGATTTGCGATACTTATTAAAAGTCACTGAATTAGTGTGCCTAACAGGCAGGGTGTCTTTTGTTATAGTTTTTTTTTTCCTGCATCATTTAAAAAACTTTCTGTGGAAATCAAAATTCTTGCTTGTAGCTATCATTTAACTGATTAAAAAATAAAGGCATGATAATGACATTTACTACCGTAGACTTGCCTCCATTCGCGTATATGAACTCCTTTTTTAAGTTGGTCACATTTTTTAATATCCTCATAAGTAGCTAAAATGCTAGAGGCACTCCAGCAACTTTGGCTTTTAAGCCGTTCACTTGGTAAAGCTACTCGCTTTGTACGATTACTGCATTTTATGACTCACTGCCATGTTTGCCATTTATACTTTATAACAACAAAAAAAAAGAGTTGATGTTTTCCTCAAAGTCATTTAATGATACGCGAGTATTTGTTACTTTTTTACAAGTAAGTATTATTGTTGCCTTAGCTGCTACTCAGGAGTTATTATTTTTTAATCTGCTCAGTGCGATTTTTTTGCGTTTTTTTTGTGCTTTCAAAATCCGCGTTGTACATTTTCATTGCCATTTCACTTTGTGTGTGTTTGCCATACAAATGCAGAGGGCTTTTACTGTCGGTTTTTTTTTTGTTTCAAATATTTACATACTCTATTTGGCTCGTGTACTTATAAAGCTATGATGCAAAGCTTAATTTCCTTTTGTTTTCACATTTATTTGCTTTTATACTCATTGCTTCAGTGCTATTGTCATATATTGTTGCTTTTGTTATTGTTACTGCTGGGTGTGGGTGGATGTGCCTTTGTTTTGGTTCTAGCATTTAATATTTTTTACTATACTCTTTTTTCTCTTTCTCCTTTTGCAGAAACTACAGAGTTCAATCAACCGGCATGAAACAATGGTACCTACTCTCCCTCTACATTGGCGATGCAGTGCGCGATGTGCCACTCTGTCGGCACCTGGCCAAACGGATGCCATGTCCAGGCGTTGGACCATTGCCGCCACCGCAACCACGCTAAGTCAGTGTTATAGCCAAAGCAAAAACCAAAGCAATGTAACTACGTAAAATCAGCATGAAGTTCCAGTGAGCGTGGCAGCTGCTACCGTTGGGAGTTGGCTATGGGGATTTGTATGCACCTTACAGCCATGGAATGAAATGCTACTACTTTAGTAGTTGTTTATACATATTTCTTTGTATTACTTACAAAACGAAGTCAGCGTACATCACCCACATTACTTGTGTTGCAGTTTCGACAGATTGCAGACATTTTTTTGCGAACGCTCTTTTTTTTATTTATATTTCATTTTACTTGTTTCTACTTTTCATTACCTTTTCACATTCATCACATTTGTGTTTCGTATGTTTACCAAAGTTTTTAATTTTCAAGCTAACGCAATTGTCGTGACAAGCAAAAGATATGCGCATACAAATAAAGTAGGGAAAAATTGCAGCAGTCGAGGAAGCGCTGAAGCGGCGCCTAAGCGAATGAAACGAATTGCTCGTGACTACCACAAACGTTTGTCCCTAACAAAATCAGGCATACAAATGAACATAAATAATGTAATGTAGTATTTCTTATGACTTCTAAATTCTATTACTTTTTAATAAGTAATCATGCATTGGTAATGCAAAATTAAATGCCCTACTTTTCTTAGGATATCGCCTTGGGAAAAATAATGCATTTTCGAATGTGAACTCGGCTGTTTTACTGATTATTTTTCCAATACACTACATTTTCCTACTGGGTGTATAAGCAGAATCTATCAAACCAACTACCCGCAGCCCATTTTTCTTGTAGGAGAAGAAAATTTTTTGAGCACATGAAACAATTTGTCTCGAAGGGTAGTTTTTGATGTCAGCTGATGTTTCGTGAAAAATTTATTTTCTAACCTCAATATAACTGTCTAATGAGTGTTACCAAAGAATGCCAGTTGTTGGTAAAAAATTTACCAAACAATTATTTTGGGGTCGCTGGAAAAGAATACAGTGCCATTTTTTAAATTCAATTTACAGAATTTTGTAAAAATCTGTAAAAAAACTGTTCCCCATCTTGGATCCCCTATTTTTAATTCTTAAAACCCCCAAGATAGTGTTATTATCGATTCTATTTAATTTTTTTTTTAAATTTGTTCAACCATTTTTGATGAAAAAATTTACACGCCCCTCCTTAGGTTAGATTTTTTTTCCATGCAACACCAGACGCCATCAAAAACAACACCTCATGAAACCTTTTTCCATGTGCTCCAAACATTTTTTCTCACACAAGATTTCCCATATGTATTTATAAGCACATACACACAAAAAATTGTGCAGTTTCCCGAAATTAATTATAAACCACTTTCAGTCTATTTCATGGCTACAATCAAATATTTCGCCTCAATGCAGGGCTATATTCCTGAGTTTGGCTACATTGCAAGAAGGGTTTCCATCAGACACTGTACCTACCGAGATTTTACTTACTAAAAAAATAATCTTAATGGAATTCTTAAAAAAAAGGAAATAATTTTTCTTAACTTCCATTATTTTGAGCAAGAATTAGCGTATAGTTTTTTAAGTAAAAATGAAAAGGCTTGCTATTTGTTTTTTTTTTCAGCTGAAAATCGGCGTATATGAAAAGCGAAGTCATGATTTTAGTGTGCTTTTGAATCAAAAAGTTCGTGAAAAGCTCAAAAAAAACTTCTGGAGAAATCGCAAACAACCACATTTGGTCACGAAATATCACGAAATTAAGCAAGCGATTGCCAAAAGATAAAAAAAAATTTGAAACATCCCGAAAAAACATAAAAGTCCTAAAATTAACAACTAAAGCAAGAAGTCCCGTAGAAAACAAAAAATTCCCGAAAATGTCAAAAGCTTCTGAAAGATATAGTACGAAAGAACTCGAAAAATCCTGAAAAGCCCCTGGAAATAAGTGATAAGTAAAACATGCAGAATTCTAAGAAGTGCAGAGATAAATTCAAAAAGGACAGAAAATATTGTAAATAGAAAAATACTTGTAAAGCCCGAAAAAGTCCTGAACGATTCCTAAAAGAACTAATGAGAATTATGAAATATTACGGTAATACCCAAAAAATCATAAGGCATTTTATGAAAACTCCCAAAGGATAAAAAGTAAAAAAACAACCCAGAACAATTAACCAATCTCGAAAAAATTACAAAAGTTTATTAAAGCAACTACAAAGCTAAAGATGAAAATCTAGAAACTTCCCAAAAAATACGAAAAAGGGCTGAAAAATCTTGCAAAGTCTCGAGAAAACCTGGGGAATCACGAACGATTTCTTAAAAATTCGCAAGTGCATTCTGGCGGGTAAAATCGTTTCTCGACTTGGTTCGGCGATTAAAGTATTCAACTACTAAAATTTCAACAAAAACGTCCATGAGAGAATAGCTTTTAAATCGACTTCAGGCCTTATTTTAGCTATTTTTAGCTAATTTTGTGCAATATTTTTTATTGTTTTTTTTTCTTCGTGTTTATGTTTTGGGTCACGTTAAAGTTTTGATGCACCTACATAATTCTTTTCGTTCTCAATTCACGAAATTACTGCTGTATTTTCACATCAATTGCTTGTCTTTAATATAGTCATACATATATTCCATAATATTTTGTAAACGTCAGTTTAGGAGCTATTTTGTTGATCCATCTTACAAACTTATATTAACATCTGGAGAATATTATATATGTACATAATCATCTTTTTTAAATAGATTCCGTATTGATAAATAAATTTTATTTCCTATCTTGACTGTGTATATCATAACACTTCAGTGACTTCCATTACGTGTCTACTTTTACTATTACATACCATATTTATAGTTACATGCGTACATTCTTAAGCTAAGTCATTTTTGTAATTTTATTGTAATTTTTAAACTGGATTAAAGTTATTTATAAATACTAGATAGTCAAGTTTTTCAATTTGCTGTTGGGTTAGCTTCCTGAGAAGCAAACATTTTCATATAAAACTGTCACTGTTTTTGAAATATTGATATTTTTTTGAATTTAAAAAAATCGTTCCTTTTTAAAGATTCTATATCATGAAACTAGTTAAGATATATGTATATATATATATTTTGCGTTTTTATTGTAAAATGAGCATTTCTAAAAAAGTGTATCTTTTTGCATATTTTTCGGTCTTTGGTACTTTTTCGCGATTTATAGTGCTTTTCGATGCCTATTTCGCTATTTTATTTTGCCTGTTTTTATGAGTTCTTAGACCCTAAAAATCCGTTCCCTGATACCTTCTGAGGAATGTTTAAGAGACAAAAATAACCAGAAATTCGTCTGAACGTTTGTACACAATTGAAAATACTTCGCGCAAAATTCAATAAAGAAACATTATTGCAATAAATTTACAACAATTTATTTTAATGATCCCCCAATTGCAAGCTACCACTAAGTACACACAAACAGCCAATGCTAAAAATTACGTGGATGTAAAGCATTTTTGGCATAACTGTAATGAGTTGTGACCATTATACACAAATGCCTAAAACGACTCTTCATCGATCAGCATAATTTTGTGAAGATCGAACTTATTCCAGCGATGCCTACTTTCAGGCGGTATAAAAGTTATTGCCTCTGAATAATTAAGCGCATTTATGTTTGTGTTTCTTTGAACATATACGTAGCTGCATACGACTTCGGATTATACATATTTATATGCAATTTATTCAAAAACATTGAACTGGATGTAGTGTATGGGGGATGGAATTTTGACCGCGGGAATTAAGGCCGCCTACTTATATGTTTGATCGCGGCCAAACTTCACTTGCTAAAATGAATTATTTCCGAGCGGGCTAATTTCATTTTTTGCTCGTTTTTGATTGCCAGAATGAAATTATCCGCATTAAATCACCAATATCTAAATTTTATTTTTCATTTGGTCGACAAATGAAACCACAAAATAAAGAAAGGTGTTATTTGCAAAAGGTGTTCAGCCCCTCTTCTTCGGCAACGCAGAAAGTAGAATTAGGCGCATGCCACAAATCGGAGGAAAAGCTCGGTCAAACACAAACATATTTGTAAGCACCAATCTATTATTATTAAGTAATTGAAAAATATAAATACAGATTTCAAAAAAGGGAGTAGGTTATCAGTGCGTCGGAATATTTATTTATTTTTTATGTATGTTACCGCATAACTTTGGACTACGTCAACCGATTTTGGTTTGGATCATTAAAATAACGGTACTCAAAAATTTTTATATGAGAATTAAAGTCGGTTGTGTTTTCTGCTTAAAAATGTTTGGATAAGATTTTATTGGTACTTTGTACAATCATATATATGTATTCTCAATTCTTATACAAATACTTTCAATTATTTGCAATATTATTCATTCAGTAACGAGTGAGGCATAAGAACTAATGCTGTAATTGTTGCCAACAGTAAGTAAGAAGTTTATTTAAGAAGCAAAAAGGAACACTTTCAACTAAGCCGGAGAAATTTTTGTGAAATACAATGTTTAGATACCGCGCCGTCGAAAATGTAATTTCTCTTGTCCTTACCAACAAAAGTATCTGCTCCACTATTGGTCTAAAATGAATCAAGAGGCTTATTAATTTGAAATTTATAGTCGTACTAGCTTTTGTCCGCAGCTCTGCGCGCTTTTAGAACGGTTTAACTTTATGATTTCAGATGTAAAAGAAAGAAAATTAATTACATCACCGAAAATAATAAATTTTATTTAAAAAAGATGCCTATCCGTTGTGTCGAAGTTCCCAAACATGGTCAATGTATCGAAATTCAACTAAATTGGCCTTTTCAGTTAAAAAACCACTTGCACTTTGTAGCAAATCTTTACAATACATACATTATTTTAAGTTGTTTTTATAGGAGGTCATTCTTTTAGAAAATAGGTATGTCAGCCATTTTCTTGTATACGAAGTATGCTCGATGATTTTCAAAAAAAAAGTAAATAAATTGCCAAATATCATCGGCAGCCTCCAGCTACTTCAAACTTGCACTTGATTGCGTACTCGAAATTTTTCTAAGAAGTCTAATTAAAAAGCTCGAAATTT